GCCCACCAGTCGTGATGTCTATGTTGATGTTATGTTCAAGATTGTCTTGGGATGCACATGCTCATTTTGATGTTATAGTCAAAATAGTGTGGGTATAAGGTTCGAGTGAGATATACGTGTCAGGGTACTGGTGAAGGTCTGATTTGTGTTCATCTCATCTCCAACGGAGCATCCGGGTCGTGATGTTAACGTCGATGTCATGTTGAAGATCGCCTTGGGATGCAAATGTTGATTTTGATAGGAAATGTAAGCATCCGGGTGAGGAGAGAAAGAGAGAGAGAGAAAAAAAAAGAGGAGGGGGAAGGGGGAAGGGAGGGAGAGATAGGAAATGTAAGTTTAACGAGTCTCTGTATAACGTTGTTGCTACATTCTGTTGTTATGTTGGCTGTTGTGTAGTAGTACAGTGACGTGCGACCTCCATATTGCTGGAAAAACTTTTTTGCACCTTTCGGCTTGAGCAGTTGTTGACCATCATTTCGAACGAAAAGGTGAGTGATATTTTTCTCTCAATTCCCTTTGGGTTAGATGTGCGGGTTAGGGTCATGGTGAAGGTCTGATCTTATATTTCAGATAGCAATGCAGGGCTCCGGTGTAAGTCAAAGGTCCGGGCCAGGGAATCGGTCTGGGGCTGCAATAGAAATTGTGCACTTTAACAAAGCTCTAGGGTCCTAATAATTATGTGGATCTTATCTTCAATGGAGCATGCATCTCCCCAGCTCTATATTGATGTCATGTTCAAGATCGCCTGGATATGCACACGTTGATTTTGATGTTATAGTCACAATAGGATATGTGTTCGATTCGGGTCAGATGTTCGGGCTAGGGTCGTGGTCAAGGACCGATCTTATATTCAAAATAGCAAAGAATTGCAAGGGTCTGATTAAAAGGTCTGGGTTAGGGTTCGCGTATGGACCTGCAGTTGACAATGTCCTCTTTATCAAAGCGTCTGCGTCTCCGTAGGTATGTCGATCTTATCTTTAAAGGAGCATTTGGATCCCGATGTCTACTTTGATATCATCTTTGAGGTTGCCTCGAGATGCACATGTTGATTTTGATGTCCGAGTCAGACCTCCGGGTGATGGTCCAGGTAAAGGTCTGATCTTATATTTAAAGTAGCAACGCAAGGCAGGAGTCAGAGCAAAGGTTCGGGTATGGGTGTGAGTGAAGGTGCGATTTTGTATTGAAAAGAAGCAGTGTGGGTGAAGGTCTGATCTTATCTTTCCAATAGCAATGCAGGGCAGCGGTCTGAGTCAAAGGTCCGGGAAATGGTCGAGGTCCAGACCTGAAGTAGACATTGTCCTCTTTAACATAGGTACGAGTCAAAGGGTCGGGTTAGGCTGTGGGTATAGGTGAGGGTGAAGGTCCAACCTTATCTTGAATTGAACATCGTGGTCCAGGGCAGCGGTCCGAGTGCAAGGTCCGGAGCAAAGGTCCACGAGTTCATTTGACATTTTGCATTATTTTAAAGTGTCTGTGTCCCTAAATCTATGTGGATGTTATCTTCAATGGAGTATCAGGGGGATCTCGATGTCTATGTTGATGTCATCTTCAAGACTGTATTTAGGTGCCGGACAACGGTCTTGGTGTGTTAGTCCAAATAACATATGTGTTGGATTTGGGTCAAAAGCCTAGGTCGGGGTTTTGGACAAGGTCCGATCTTATATTCAAAATAACATGTGTGGAACAAGAACCCCATATACCGGCCATGGGCAGCCGTCAGGATGATGAACACCAAGCGGAACTGTATCCAGACACGGAAACATCTCAAGTGCCGGATATTCAGAAGAATGTCATCAAGGGCGATCCACAAGGGGGACGGAACAAGTGGGGAAGGCACAAATGGCGGTGGCGCCCGTTGCCGATGGAAAGGAAGAAGGGGAAGGGAAAGGGAGAGAGAGTGCAACCACAGAGGGGAACGACCAAGGTACAAAGGGTAAGCAATCGACAGAAGTGGAGCAGGAAGTTGTGGATGAAGTAGAAGCGCAAGCGCAAAGGGAAGCTATGCCTCCCCCTCTTTCCCCTCCTCCCTGGCAGCAAGGGACAATTGAGGAGGACGAAGGGAAACCAGACAAGGAGGTGCCACAGTCAAGGCGGGAGGAAAAGACAGGACAAGGCGAACCTGCACCACCCTGTAGCCAACCAAAGGAGGTCATCGAAGTGAGGGAAGACACGCATATGAATCAGGCCATGGGTCATCAGTTGGAGCTTGGGAGTTACAGGAGGAAGAAGAAGCAATTAGCCTCTCGGCCATCATCAACTGCGGACAATGGGACGGAGGAAGGGCTGTCAGGCGGTACTTTCAGAAGAGATGTGCCCAGGGAACGCGAACGATCCCCTCCCCCGAATCGCCCTCCGCTAATGGTACGCTCCTCCAGGCGCTGTTTTGTGTCACCGGAGAGAAGAGAGATGGACCGCCTATCACGTCGGACGGGACTGGGAGACCCCTGCCCATACGACTTGAGCTTGGGACCGGGGGACTCCTCCAGACCGGACGACGGGGGGGACGGGGGAGCCAACGTGATCCCAGAAATGGAGAAGGAAGACGTGGACATGGGCTACTTTGCCCAGGACTCGGAAGAAGAGGAGGATTCCCCCCTCATGGTGGCAGACCGAGGCCCCCCTTTCATGACGGCGGTACACAGCTCGCTCCAAGCAGTGATGGCGGCAGGAGAATGTTATGTTTGTACCATCATTCTTTGGTGGACGGACCCTGAGATTCTGATCCTTACAAGAGGCACTGACCGACTCTTCACGTTCATCACCAAGGAACTCCCTCGAAAATCAAACATCAGCCGATAAGTTAATCGATGGGTGGGTTCACACTACAAAGTCAGAATACTGCCAAAAGTGTCCACGGGGCACTTCTTTAGTAGACGTCCCCAGGGATCTGAATACGGATTGTGCATTTACTTCGTGGCGGTAGAACCAAAGCGGGCAGCCTCCCCTCAGCTTGCGCATAGAGAGGCCATGTGGACCAAGTTCTCAGCTATTTTTGGCCCAAAAGCCAAACCAAGGGACTTCGAGATTCCACGGGGGCACAAAAGGAACACAACCCCTCTCCCCCCTGGGTCCACATCCGTTGGTCACCGCGGGCACCACCAACAGCACTCGACGCAGGCAAAACCCAGGAGACAGAGGACAGTAGCCTTCGAAGCCCACAACCTAAACGCAGCGGAACCACAACGCAACGCGATCCGTCACGGTGTGTAGCATACCGAGACCACAGGATAGGGGACACGACGGGCACAAGCGCGCATTTCAAAAAGTCGGGCGATGACGGGCCCAGCCTCCCGACGCCGTCGGAGGGTGCATCCCCCATCCCACAAGTCTCCGCCCTCGCATACGGAAAGCAGCGCGTGCATGGCCGAGGCCGCCTGCTTCACCGCTCAATGGCGCCGCTCGGATGGCGAAGAGCGCAGAGCATCCTCACCAAGTCGTGACACCCCCTCAACACAAACGGAACGCGCCGTTGTGAGCGCGGACAAGAAGACGACACCACAACAGAGCCGCAACAGCTCTCCCCGTAACCTACGGGATGATGGTACCGAAGCTGAGAATCGGTGACGGGCACCTCTGACTCCACACTCTGCAAATGACCGCCAACCGGACCGGCGTCGGCGATCAGGCGCCAATCATCGCAAGACGATGAGCGAGGGTGAACGCAACGATCCACATTCCGGCACCACGGCATAGGAAAGCCCCGACAGCCGCGACCGCCGCCAACGACGACCGAGCTGTCGTGAAAGAAGCCCTCCGAGAGAGACGACCATGGACCTTAACGGCGCCACAAAAATGTTCGCTCGACCACCAAAGCACGACTCGCCCATCCCTCGCAAACTGGAAACCACCCAAAGCGTGTGCAGAGAGTCCCTCGTAACTCGAGTACAAGGTCCCAAAACCCACGCCCGGAACGTCTCCTTCGTCGACAGCAAGGGGGCTGCTAAGCATGCAGGCCCCCATAAGAGTGCAACCCGCCAACCACCGACTGTTTGGCACATCTGGAGGGTGCTCACTGAGCCATCCGCCGAGGGACCTGCACATGTCCCTTTCCAGCACGCTGTCTGAACAGACCCCAATGGCGATGTCCCCCTCGGGACCTCATCCCTTTCCGCTCTCAATAAGATGCCTCTGGACCTTCGATCCTGGGAGACCCCCTTTTCTCGGGGCCGTTCCTACGCCCGAGTGGCAGTGCGCGGTATCTGCTGCCCCCACAAAATTCGACACCTCAAAAGTCCGTCACATCTCCGTCCCTTCCACACACAAAGGGATAAGGGGAAGGGCCGGCGGAAAAAAATAAATACATTGAAAAAAAAAAAAAAAGGGACGAAACAAATAGAGAAAAGGCCAAGCAGCTTCTGTGCCTAGCGACTCAGATCACGCCGCGGTGTGGGAGTGAAAACTTTACGGGAAGTCTGGCAGAATCGTGCGTCCGTTGTGGGGTTATGTGTTGGCGAACATGACCGGACACGCACTCCAGAAAGAGAAGGGGGGAAAGAAAAGCCAAGGATGACTTGACAAAATCATCATTTCAATTTGTGTCGGCCCCGAAAAAAACTGCATCCGGCAGAAGAAGCGAGGCCGAAAACCCGATGGCCATAAGCGTTTTCGTGCATGTCCCGGAGAACACCATGGAGCCAATCAGGTACCGCCTCCAGTGAAGAAGGCCGCCATGATCATGCGCACGAGCGGGGAGGGCCGGATAGGGAAGGAAGTGGGCTGTTTGCCCCCGCCATGAACATCATTTTGGGGGGGGGGGGGCACACAAAGGGCAGGAAGTGGACTCTCTGTTCCCAAAGCAAAGGGGCGCGCGGCCCCACCAAGATCATGACTACGCAGTCGCTTGGGGAGGGCCACGTAGGGCAAGAAGTGGGTATTTTGTTCCCAAGCCATAATATTACGCACACACATGGGGAGGGCCAAATAGGGTGAGAATTGGCTTTCCAGGTCCGAAACACCAGGAGCATGCTTCGCGCACCCCCACCACGATTACGCTTGTACGCAAGGGGGGGCCAGACGCCCTCCGTCTCTGCCCCATTACTAAAAATCTTCCGTTAAATTGATTGAATACTTGAGCAAACTTTTATCTACAGAATGAGAAGATTCAGAATTATGTTTTCATCATGAAAGAAAGGTGAATCCAATAGGGCGAAATATTATACACGTTTGTACATAGTACACGTTTGCATTTTGTTTGAATACTTGAAGAATAACTTCTTTTTTTTTTTACTGAAACAAAGGTCGCCCGCCACATCGTGAGTAAGTGTACAATGTGGCACTCACGTCAATCCAGCCTTTGGTCCCAGGTCTTCGTGCAGCCAAAAGTGGCAGGCCGTATGGGGCGACATCGGACAATGTGGCATGCATAAACGCCCACCGGGTCAAGTACAGGAAGACACGCGGACACATATCCATGCTTTCGGACAGATGGCGCGCCTTAGTGGCCAGAAGCTTACAACGTGGCACCCACCCCAACATGGGCTCGGGCACAGTTCTCCTTTG